TCATGGCTTTTAACAAAGATTCGCAATTTAATATTATATAGCATTGAAGGACGTTCAAAAATCGCATCAACACCAGAAATTATAACCAAAACACTAGTAGAGACTCTACACATGTGTGGCAGTGTGAGCCATATTTTAAGTTAAATTTTGGGTTTTAGAAAGCTGTGTGCACAATGGTCGCCGCATTCGCTAACAATTAAACAAAAACACATTCGTGTCAGACTTTCTCAGCAACATTTAAAGCGTTTAAAAAAGRATAAAGTGGATTTTGTGCCTCGATTTATGACTAAAGGCTAAAGAGTGGTGTGAACCTGGTTGTTTGCCTTTGAGACGAGTTCGTGGCCGGAAATCGGCCAAGAATGTTATGTCATCCGTTTTTTGGGATGCGAGAGGATATAGAGTGTGGATTACTTGCAAACTGGTGAAACAATTAGTTCTGAATATTATTGCAACCTTTTGGACCAGTTGAATGAAAAATTTCGTGAAAAAATACCCGGTTTAATGAAGAAAAAATTATTTTTCATCAGGACAATGCACCATGTTATTTTGACAATGGTTAAAATCCACAAATTAAAGTTCGAAGTGGAGCATCCAACGTTTTCATCAGATTTGGTCCCAGCGAATTCCATTTGTTTCCAGAACTCAAAAAATTTATTCATAGCAAACTTTTTTCATCAATTGAAGAGGTCACAACGGCTATTGAAGCCGTCTTTGGAGCAAGTGTATTAATGTTCAGGGAGATTATACTGCTTAATAATAGTGTATTTTGAATCATACACTTGTGTTTTTCTTATGAAACGACAAAACTTATTATGTATATGTATATATAATATATATTTGTTAACAAACATCTAACACTTTATAAACAAGACCCCAAAAACTATTATAAGATCTAAAATTATTTTCACTACTTTAATGCCCTTTTTCCTGGTGTAAGTATTATTTTGATTAAGCGATTCAAATTTAAATTAACTTAAAAAATAATATACATAGGTATTTAGGAATTTTAGGACTTCTTTTAATATTGCGATGTTACATTATTTTTCTTAAGTCAGCACCTTCGGCTTTTTGCATAGTGTTGACAAACATCTTCTTTAACTGA